TGGAGAAGGGGCCTCTATTCCCAAGCCAATCCCTTGCAATGGAGCTGGAGCTCCACTGGAGTGAGGGGGACCCACAGAAGCAGGTCAGAACCAGAATGGGCAGTGGTGCCCTGCAGGTCTCCACTTGCCCGACATCGTGTCTCCTTACCTGACGTTGCAGGATGGCGTCTCCTTCTGGTGCTTGCGGAACCACGTGTGCCGGGCCTTGTGGCACTCACTCTCCCTGATGAAGCCGTCACTGTCCTGGTCAAGGGCCAGGAAGGCCGTGCGCGCCCGCTCCCGCTCCTTGGCCGTCAGCAGCCGCAGCAGGGAGTTCTGGGGATGCAGAGGGGATAGGGGAGCCCCTGCGTCAAGGCAAAGAGTTTGGACACAGGGAACCTCCTGCTGATCACAGGGTACCTCCAGTCCCACCAGTACCCAAGCTATTCACCTTCCCATGGTGCCACCCCCATCTAGGTGGCTGGGGGACATCTGTGATTGGCCAGGAGGCTGCTGCTGGGTCAAGGGTGCCCTGCAGTCAATACCTACCAGCAGCCAGCTCCTTCCTGGTGCCCCCAGCCCATGTGTGCTGTTGAAGTACCTGCGGCCGGAGCTTCTGCAGCAGCTGGATGGACTCATGGGAGAGGAAATCCGGCCACTCGATGTGCCCCTTCTTCTCGGGGTCCAGGGCGGAGAACTGGAGGGTCGCCCGCTCCTCCTGGGCCTCTTCCATGGGCTTTTCGAACTGCTGCTTGTGCACCAGGTGCTTGTAGTGCAGGAAGTCGTCCAGAGTCAGGCAGGTGTCTGCAGGAGTGGGCCCGGCGCCCGTCAGTGTGTGCTGCGCGGTGCCCCGGGGGTGGGGCCTGCCTCCCTTGAGCACCCTGCCTCCTGGAGACCCTCCTGTGGACCTCAGCGGGTGCAGAGCCAGCGTCGCGCGCACCGCGGGAGAGCTGCTGGTGGGGAGACGGCTCCTGGGCGCTCTGAGGCTGCCCTGGGCCTGGCCTGAGGCTGGGGGCATGAAGCAGTGTGCTTCCCAGAGACAACTCAGGGCATCCCTTCCACCAGCCTCAAAGTGATGGGGGAGAGCTTCTTTCCTCTTGCTGTTCTCCAGGCCCCTGGTGGCACCACACACATTCCCTCTTCCCCCATCTCCCTCCTTCTCTGTCCCTCCTTCCCTGCTTCCTCTAGTGCTAATAGGAGATCCCACAGGCTGCCATCTTTAGCAGAGCTTTTACCTTTTACCTTTCCAGGCAGAGGAGCAGTAAAACCTCCACCCTAGAGCAGCAGTGCCCAGCCCAAGGACCGGGACGGCGTAAGGGGAGAGTGAGGGC